CCCTAGCGCCAGTACTTCCTAGGGCTAGCACTCCCTAGCGCCAGTACTTCCTGGCACTCCCTCGGACTAGCACTCCCTAGGACTAGTATTCCCTAGGGCTGGTACTCCGTAGTGCGAGTGCCCCCTAGGACGAGTACTCCCTTGGACGAGTACGCCCTAGGGGTAGTAATTCCGTGGACTGGTACTCCCTGGGGCTAGCACTCCCTGCGGCTAGTACTCCGTAGGACTAGTACTCTCCTATGAATGAGATTACCTAACACCAACACTACAGCACCATAGTACTACCACACTACAGCACCACTACCACAATACCAGTACCACAGCACCACAACACCGCTACCACAACACCACAACACCGCTACCACAATACCACAACCACAACACCACAACACCGCTACCACAACACCACTACCACAGCACCACTGCCACTACGACAACACTACTACCTACTAACAACCCAACAACACTACCAACACCACACCACTAACACAGCACTACCAATACCACACCACTGACACAGCACACCACTACCAACACCACACCACTAACACAGCATACAGCACGACCAGCCACTACCAACACCACACCACTAACACAACATTACCAACACCACACCACTAACACATCACGGCGACCACCACACCACTAACACAGCACTACTACCACGTTGGTTCCAGGTGGGAGTTACCGTGGCCACTTTTGCCTGCGCGGGAGTGCATTCCCTTAAGGGTTGCGAATCTCTCCAGATCTAACATGAGATACCTTTACATCTTACTTTTCATTGAGCGGCCTGCGCGGGCCACAGTAACTCCCATTCCGCCGCGCGACGGGCCACACTAACACCCAACGGGCCACACTAACACCCAACGGGCCACAGTAACAACCGGTCGCCCCCCACACCCCCCCACACCCCCCCCGTCTCTTGCCCCTCTTCACACAAGTACAAGCGTGCAAGTGCCTTTCGACTTGCGTGTTTCCCGCGGCCCCCACCCCCGGGTGCAAGTGCAAGGGGCCGTTGGGGCATCAACTCGCTTAGTTCTCTCCAAATAAACTTGCCTTGGAGTTCTAGCGAAGCTTCCTCAAATTGGTTCGGAGCGCCCAACCGCCCATTTTTGCCATTGCGCGATGAAGCTCCTTTCTAATCTTTTCTCAGTGGTCTCCTAATGGTGTTCCAATAATTTACGAATGGTTTCCCAATTACGTTCCAAGGATTCCTCGACGGCTTTCCAATGTGGGCCCAAAATAGGTCCTCATGGTTTTCCGATGCGTGTTGATTGCGTGCGCTTGCACTTGCTCGCATTTGCATGTTGCTTGCATCTGCGTGTCTTGCATGTTGTTCGTCTTTGCGTTTGCTCTCATGTTGTGTGCATGTGCTTGCGTTTGCCATTGCACTATATGCACGTTGCGTGCTGATTGTCAATGGTTGGTGCCGCATGCGTTGCTGCCCTGTGGTCGGCGTACTCTATGGGTGATATTGATTCGCTATGGTTGGGACCCTGTGGTTGGTGCCCCATTGTTGCTACCTTGTTTTTATTGCCGTATTGTTTGGTCCCGTATGGTAGGCGCAGCTTATGTATGGCGACTCGGTGCTCTTCACAAGAGAGCTCCAGGAGCAGGATGGATGCAGCGTCCTCGTGGAACCTAGGGGGTGCATCTCGGGATACCTGACGCTGGGAAGTAATCGAAGCTGCCCATGCGGCGTACCCCTGGCAAACCCTGCGGGGGTCTTCAATTTTCGAGCGATTCCACCTGCACTTGCGTCGGCGTGGAGCCTTTCCCCCCCAAACGTAAAACTGGCTTCTGGAATGCTTGGGGCGCGCCCCCCTCCCCCGTCGATGCAAGGAAACTTGCCAGAATCTACCGGAAAACAATCTAAAATCAGAACGTCGCATGTCTGGGTCTTCCCCCCTCTCCGGGCGGATGGGGGAAGACGGGGGAGGCGCAAGGAGGGGGAAGGGAGGCCAGGAGGAGGCAAGGAAGGCAAGGAGGGGACAGGGAGCAAGAGGAGGTGGAGGAGGAGGACCAGAGTGAGCCCATGATGCGCCAACGATGCTCCCGTGCCAAGGCACATCCACATAAACCTCCTACACGTAGGAACTACATGTGTGCTATGGAGGATCAGGTTGCACAGGATGGGCAAGGGGGGCTTCGAGCTTGCTCAATCTTATGTAGTTGTCGTGCAAGCTTCTCTTTCGCTAGGGAATGGGATGGGTCCGGCCACGCTGCCGCCTCGTTGCCGCCTCGGTTTCGTCCCGTGGCCGCCTTATTGGCGCCTCATTGCCGCCTCGTGCGCTGGGTGGGTCCGGCGAGGTTTCGCCACGTTGCCGCCCGTTGCCGCCTCGTTGCCGCCTCGGTTGCGCCCCGTGGCCCCCTTATTGGTGCCTCATTGCCGCCTCGTGCGCTGGGTGGGTCCGGCGAGGCTTCGACACGTTGCCGCCCGTTGCCGCCTCTAGCTCGCACCACGTAGACTGCACCAAAAAAACTCACACGACATCGCTTGCACCGTGTAGCCTGCACGCACCCACAGTGCAACAACTTTCTGATCGGGGTCCACGGCGTGAAGCGCCGCCCTGGAATGACGAACGCAAGGTGGGCCATCCACTGAGGCGAGACCCCGTTTTGCAAAGTATCCTCCATCCACCCTGCGACCTTCAAGACACGCAAACAGCTAGGATGACAAAACTCAAGGAAGTGTCCAGCAATAGCCCCGTTTTGAAAAGGCCTCAACCTGTGTAGGTGTTGCACATGTGGCCACGCTCTGACGATACACTGCTCGAAGTCTCGAGCGAGTGCCCCATGCTGAAAAAGAACCGCTCTCCATCGGTATAGTTGTTGCGGAGCTTCGGGTCATAGAAGAGGAGGCAGTCCCAAGCAAGGGCCGCATTCTGAAGAGGAGGTTTCGCCGGGGTGCGTTCAGCAGCATCGCTGCATTTGTAATGTTAGAGGGATTTGCTGATCTGCCGAGGTAGCCCAGCGGCCGCCTTCTTCTCGCCAAGAGGGCCGCAGCGTGGGCGACTTTCTTTTTCCCGAAGGCGACCGGCCTTTTCAGCTGCCGTGGAGAGGGCGACGCGCGTGCGATCCGCCCCGTGGGTGTCCGCCGCGCTGGCGACGCACTCACCGAATTGCCCCCTTGCGAGGGCGACGTGCACGTTCGAGAGGGCGGCTGGCCTTTTCGGCGGCCGACGCACGGGCGGCGCACGGGCGACAAATGCGCGACGCACCTCCTGTCGCGAAGGGGGGGGGGTCAGGACGCCGGTCGCTTTACTGGGCCTTAACAAGGCTTCCCAAGCATTCAGAGCCAATGTGCGCGTCGCGAATGCGAAATCTGCTTTTAGAGAACCCCCCACACCATCCGTGTCCCTGTTCGTTTTGTTAAGTCGAGTGTGCGCGGCGCTAAGGCGAGTCCCTCACTTTGAAGTCTATTGGACTTCCATCCTTGCTATTGTTGGAAACTTCCAAACGAATGTGGACAGCGCCAAGGGCGAGAGCCGCAATTGGGAAGCTACGAACACTCCATCCTCGTCATTGTTGCATTTCCAGGCTCATAATAACAATTTTGCAGGACACCTGAAGCGAAACGCCCAGCCCAGCCTTTGGTCACGTCTGGTGGGGCGACAAGGCGGGGGCGATTCACAAGGAAGACGGACGGGGGAAGGCAGGGGAGGCTGGAGGATGATGAGGAAAGAAGAAGGAGGCGGAGGAGGAGGAGGAGGACGAGGACCAGTACAAAATCCAAGACGAACAAAGAAAGTTGCGATAAACCTTCCCTACACGGCTCATTATCATTGCCGGAAGTGGCCAATTAGAGGACAACCGTCTGAGAATCCCCAACCATGCCAAAACACCGTTCCCGGGACTTCATCGTCGCCGATCAACGTTACTGTTGCGCCCTGACGATCCCAAATCGTGCCAGATCACCAGTCCTGGGACTTCAACTCCGCGAAGCAACGTGACTCTTGCGTCCTGACAATCGTATACCGCTCCAGAATACCATCCCCAGGACTCCAGCCATTCGAACCCTTGAAACTGCCGCAGACGTTTAATACGAATGCGCCCAGCGCAAAGGCGAGAGTGACAGTTTGAAAAGGAACCGCTCTCCAGATTTGCAACTGTCGCAAACTTTTCAGACGAGCGGCGCTAACGCGAGAGCCACATATTGAAAACGGCTTGTCCTCAATGTATACAAACTGGTGCAAACTTGTCAGACGAATGTGCGCGGCGCTGAAGCGATGAAGCATTTTGAAACGACCTGCCCCCAGTGTTTGAAGCTCTTGCAGATGTTTAGGATTCAGGACGAGTGTGCGCGGCGCTGAGGCGAGATCCACATCTTTAAAAAAAGGCCCACCGCTCATCCGCGAAACTGCTGCCACTTTCAAGCCTCGTGATCTTTCATGGAAGTCTCGGACGAAACGCCTGGCCCGCCCTGCCGACACGTCTGGGGGTGCGGCAGTGGGGAGTGTTTTCTGAGGAGACCAGGATGGGGGAGAATGGAGAAGAGGCGGTTAGAGAAGGAGGAGGAGGAGGAGGAGGAGGAGGAGGGAAGAAGAGCAAGAGGAGGAGGAGGAGGAGGAGGAGGAGGAGGAGGAGGAGGAGGAGGAGGAGGAGGAGGAGGAGGAGGAGAGGGGTATATCGGAGAGGGAGAGAGGAAGGGGAGGGAGGAGGAGGGGAGGAGGAGGAAAGGAGGAGGGAGCAGGAGGAGGACGAGGTGGACGAGGAAGAGGAGGAGGAGGAGGAGGAGGAGGAGGAGGAGGAGGAGGAGAAGAAGGAAGAGCAAGAGGAGGAGGAGGAGGAGGAGGAGGAGGAGGAGGAGGAGGAGGAGGAGGAGGAGGAGGAGGAGGAGAGGGGTAGATCGGAGAGGGAGAGAGGAAGGGGAGGGAGGAGGAGGAGAAGGAGGAGGAGGAGGAGGAGGAAGAGGAGGAGGAGGAGGAGGAGGAGGAGGATGAGGAGGACGAGGGGGAGCAGGAGGAGGACGAGGAGGACGAGGCCGCCCTCCCTGCGAGGACGCCGACGCTGCCGGCGCGGAAGGGAGGGGCGGCCATCCCGCCCGACCTCGGCGTGGCGGGGCCCTGGCCCGCGTGGAATCGGCGGCTCAAAGGTGGAGTCCTCCTCCTCCTCCTCCACTACAACGACCAGGTTCAGGAGCTCAAGGCCATGGCAGAACAGGGAGAAGCCGTCGACTCCCAGAGCAGGGGCCCTCCCTTCGTGACCAGCTTCGTGACGACGATGCATTGGGCGGCCATGCAGCACAACAAAGAAGGAGTGAAGCAAGTGCCGTGGATGGCCCCAGCTCACGAGCTCTACATGGCGTCGGCTGTACAAGTGGGGGAGCTGGTTCCACATCGGAAGTGGAAGAACAAGACGGAGAGCAAGCTGAAGGGCAGGTTGATCGTCGCTTTCGACACGCAGCACTTGATGCAGATTGTGACTGTCATGCTAGAGACGGCGAAGGCGGAGAGGCGCATCGGGCACACGCAGAGGGGCCCCTTGAAGCGGGACGCGTCGAAGCTGATGGTGGAGTTCAAGTAGAGGGGCGCAGCGTAGGCATAGGAAAAGGAGGTAGCAGCAGTAGCGGCAGCAGCGCCTTACCGACAAGTAGTTGGCCCGTGAATAGGGGGCCCGTGTCGGAATCCCGAGGTGTCAGTCACCAACATCCGCTGCGGGCGAGCGAAAGGATGGCTGACTTAATTCGCAGGGGTTTAGTGTCTTCTGAAGTTTTGAACCCTCGACCCCCCCCTTTGCCCTCAGCTTATGGTTCTGGAGTGTCCAATACCCCGACTATCCAAAGAGAGGGGGGGCCTTCGAGGGCCAAGGGCAGGGGCAAGGGCAAGAAGGGTGGTCGGTAGCACTCTCACTGGTCCCCAAGAGCGGGCCCTCCTGTAGGCTGCGTGCCGCCTTGGGGGTGCTCGTGGGGGCGGCGCGGCGTCCGTCGCGTGCCACGGGCCGCGTCAGACGGTTTGGCGAACCACGATTCGCCCCCCAGAGTTCCCCTAACTGTGAAGGTAGGCGGTGTTGTCAGGCGTCTAGCAGCAGCTGTTGAACCCCCACGGGCCCAATCCCAATCCAATCCAATCCTCCTCCTCCTCCTCCGGCTCCTCCTCCTCCTCCTCGTCCTCCTCCCCTGTCGTCCTCCCCGTCCTCCTCCTCCTCCTCCGGCTCCTCCTCCTCCTCCTCCCCCTCCTCAACCTCCTCTTCCTCCTCCTCCGGCTCCTCCTCCTCCTCCTGCTCCTCCTCCTCCTCCTCCTCAAGCCAGACCCCCTCGCGCTGTGAAGAAATCGTGCCGGGAGTTTTCGCTGCTTTCCGCTTCCGGGGGGGGCCTTCCTGGGCCTCGGGAGCGCCCAGGATGAAAGACCAGGCCCGGGGAAGGGGGCCCCATCGACGTCCTGGGGGTCGACGGCGCGAACAAGTCAGGACGTCCTGGGGAAGGGGGTCCTCTTAGACGTCCTGGGGGAAGGACGTCCTGTGGAAGGGGGTCCTGGCGGTCGACGTCCTATCGACGTCCTGGGGGAAGGGGTCCTATAGACGTCCTGGGGGTCGACAGTGTGAAAAAGTCAGGACGTCGGGGCTTTGGGCATGGGGGAGCTCTGCACGTCGCAGCGCGGCAGGGGCGGGCCGCGCGCGCGCGGGCGCTCGGGCGAGCCAGGAGACGTCACTGCGAGTTGCCCGGGCGCAGGGGGGGAGCGAGGAGGACGAGAGGCGCGGCCACGGGAGTCGGGGACGGAGCTCATGCGCTCACGGCAGGGGAACAAGCAAGGACACGGGCATCAAAATCTCGGGAGGTCCGCGCGGATACCTGGGTTCGGCGCCGGTGCCCCCCCGGGCGGCGCCTCCTCTGGTGCGCTCCGCGCGCCGGGAAGGGGGGTCCAGCGCGAATCCGAGGAATCCGCCCGGACCTCCGAGCTTTCGTGTGGGGCCCCGTCCACAGGCATCCGACCTCCTGACTGCTTCCAGCACGGGGTCCCCGGGAACCCTGATCCTTTCCCCGCGGAGGTCCGGTTCGCCGCCCCGGAGAGCCTAGAGATCCAACGTCTTGAAAAATCACGACGGAGGTTTTTCGCTAATTTCGGCCCCTAGGGGCCCTCGCCGGGCCTCGGGAGCGCATTGAACAAATCACGACGTCGGATCTCTGGGGAGGTATGAGATCGAGGTCAGTTCGGGGAGGGTGCCCTGCTGATCCTCGTGCTCGGTGGATGCTCTCGTGCACCCCGGGGAAGGCGCCCTTGGATGCCCCGTGCGCCTCTGGCCGGCGGAGGGCCTCGTGCTCTCGAGGGCTGCTCTTCTGTCCTGGGCCCGGCCGCATGGTCATGTGCAGCTCCTCCGCCTCCTGGAGGGGGGGCGGCGAGGGGGGAACTAAACGCGCCCCTCAGAGAGGATCGTTTGGGCACCGCGCGTGGGCCAGCGACGATGTGGGCCAGCTGCGGGCGCGCCTCGAAACTCGGGCGCTGCCGCAACATGAGCCGCCAGTGCGTGGACCGCACGTCGGGCGGAGCAACGCCAAGTCGTACTAGACAGCACTGGATAGCGCAAAACGAAGACCACAAGTGCTACAGTCGGCCCAGATCAGTAGGTGACCCTGCCAGACCAAGGGTGCCCTTGTGTCCTGTGCCTCGCGACCCATGCTTCCCACATTCCTGCGGCAGTGTGGCCCTCGGAAAGGTCTTGTGTCCCTTCGCGTGTCCTCTCCAATCGAGCCCGATTGTAGAATAGTCTCCCACGATTTGCCCCCCTCCTTTTCCTCCCTTTCCCTCCTCCTCTCCTCCTCTCCTCCTCCTCCTCCTCCCTCCTCCTCCTCCTCCTCCTCCTCCTCCTCCTCCTCCTCCTCCCTCCTCCCTCCTCCTCCTCCTCCTCCTCCTCCTCCTCCTCCCCTGCAGAGCGCGGGAAGGGGGCGGGCGCTGCGCGCGTCCTGGGGCTCCCGCCGCCCCGCGCACCCGTCGAGGCTCCCATGCGGGGGGCTGCGCGGAGGGCCCCTCTCCTGTGCCATCCATCCCGTTTGCCTCCCCCTCTGTTTTTTTTGTTGTTGTTTCTCTCTCTCTCTTTTCTCTCTTTCTCTCTCTCTCTCTCTTTCTCTCTCTCTCTCTCTTTCTCTCTCTCTCTCTCTTTCTCTCTCTCCCTCCCTCCCTCCCTCCCTCCCCCCCCCCTCTCTCTCTCTCCCTCCGTGCTCCAGGATGTCCCTTCCCGTCGAGGACCGTTCGTCTTCGCCTCGCCGGTGCGCCCCGTGCGCCCCGTGGCGCGCCGCCCGCCGCTCGGAGCCGAAGGCGCGGCGCTGCGCAGGCCGAGGCCAGCGCGACGGAGGCCGCCGAAAGGACTACAGACGGCGAGACTGCCCAAAGACCGCCCCGACGGGCGCGCACAGACACACACACACACAACACAGCACAGCACAGCACAGCACAGCACAGCACAACACAACACAACACAACACAACACAACACAACACAACACGCACACACAACACACACAACATACAACACAACACACACACAACACACAACACACAACACACAACGCACACACACAGACACAGACACACACACACACACACAGACACACACAGACACACACACACACACACACACACCTGTCATGCAGCAGCATCTTCAAGGGAAGAAGAGCCACCCGGACGGGACAGTTGGCGTTTACTAAACGGCCCTGGGTGTTTACCAAACAGCCCTGCTCTGTTCGATTCCTTATTTGGGCGCTTTTACTGAACGACTTCGCGTGTCGGGATGGTTGTTATGGGGGTGGAGTTTTGACTTCTACATCTCACACATGACATGCCTTGCTACGTGGCATACACGACCGCCGAATGCACCCAAGTGAGCACTCGCACGTAATGTATCTGGACACGCTGACGTAGCGGCGCTCGCGAAGTCCGTCTCGGCTCCCATGCTGGCCGCGGCCAGGCGGGAGTTCATTCCTTTTCTCGCACCAGCCAGCCAGAGCGTTCGTGTGAAAAGTCGATTTGATGATCATGGTAGCCACCTCGGTCAGCAACGGCATGGTAATAGGGCATACGTAAATGGCACTTCACGTCGACAGCAGTCGATGATCCATCTTCACGAGGCTCCGAAGAGACGCCAGTTCACGCATCAGCGGATCGACAAGCGTCGGTCTAGGGCGAATACACGTAAGGCCCATGGCAGAGTGTACGTGTGCGCCGAGGCTCAAGGAGGTGGCAGTGTCAGCCGCAAGTACCCGAAAGCAGGGACGGTCAGGGAAAAGCATTGCGCACACGGAATCGAGCAGAGCCACGCACGCGTGATTCAGTTCACAATAGTTCTGCATCATTGGAAACTTTGGTTCATTTCTGGTATTTACGGAGGCCCCTGCGAGCACAACGGAATATACGATAATGTTTCATGGATGAGTTTAAGCAGCGCGAGCGCAAACTTCCTGCTGCCATCGTTTATCATGCAGGGGCCCAGGGGCCTATTAGCCATAATTACCATAACCATCAAATGCTGAGTGCGCGATCGTTTCCGCTAGGGAGTGGGTACTTTCCAAAGGTGGGGAGATTTCCCACATGCGCGGAGAACCCTGGCGATCACGCAAACTCAATTGGACGAAATGTCATGAGAGAGGAGGAGGAGGAGGAGGAGGACCTTCCACTCACGGGTGAGGGCAAACGAGACCATGTACCATCATACAAGGCTGAAACTCAAGTGCAATGAGTATGGTCAGAAAGGTCACTGAGTCAACAATCCCCAGTGCCCGTAGGAAGACTAAGGCACCTACGCCAGAAAACTCAACCGCAACCCGGCTGCCAGGCATGCGACATGAGGTCTGATAGGAGTTCGTCAGGGGGCGATTCCGTGTGCACCAGATTTGGCACATATGCGCCGTCGTCGATGCTGCAGTCGCAGTCGCGGTTGGCCGACTCCGTTTCGTTTCGATTTCACTTCCCAACCTCTAACATTCCTTGAGATCCGATGTTGCAAACAAGAATGCAACATCGCAAAAGATCACGACCGAAGCCCTGGACCCCATCTTTCTGCGTAATTTTTCGAGCCAGATCGATCTGTGAGGGTTCCGGGGCCCGAGATCGAACGAGAAAAAATTGCAACGCCAGGACCTCAGGGTTTCACAGTGAACATTGCTAGCGTCATCGGATCCTGTTCATTGCCGCCACCGCCTCCGCCACAAACATATATATATGTATATACATATACACAGACACCCTCCAGTGGATTACTCCTGGGGCTCAGGGGGGGTGTGGCGGTGTATATAAATCACCACTGAGAGCCAGCGACTTTTTACACCGCCGCCCTCCCTGAAGGTACATGCAAAGTTCGTCGGCGGGCGTATACGTATATATATATATATATATATATATATACAACTATATATATACACATATATGTATGAATATATTACATATATTCATATACATATCTACATTCATACATATTTATATATACGTACATACATACAACCACACATACATACATACATTCATTCATACATACATACATACACTGATACAGACATACCTGCATACATACACACATACATACATACATGCGTTCATACACACATACATACATACATTGATACATACATACATTGATACATACATACATTCATACATACATACATGCATTCATACATACATACAATCGTACATCCGTACATACATACATATTTTCATATATACATACATTGATACATACATGCGTACATACAAACAAACATATATACATACATACATACATTCACACATACATACAAAACTACATTGATACATACATACATACTTACATACGTACATACATACCTACATTGAATCAGACATACATGCATACATACATACATACATTGATACATACATACATACATACATTGATACATACATAAATACATGCATACATACAACCACACGTACATACATACATACATACATTCGTACATACATACGTACATTGATACATACATACATGCATACATACAAACACACATACATACATACATACGTTCATACATACATACATCGATACATACATACATACATACATTTATACAAACGTACATGCATACATACATACATGCATTGATGCATCCATACATACATTGATACATACATACATTCATACATGCACACATACAAACACATACATACATATATACATACATACATACATGCATACATACATATATGGATACATACAGACATACATACATACATACATACATACATTGATACATGCATACATACTTTGATACTTACATACGTACGTACATACATACATTGATACGTACATACATGCATACATACAAACACACATCCATACATACATACATTCATACATAGATACATTGATACATACACACATAGATACATGCATACATTCATACATACAGACATTGATACATACATACATTGATACATACAGACATACATTGATACATACAACGCACATACATACATCCATACATTCATACATACCTACATTGATACATACAGACATGCATACATACAAACCCACATGCATACATACATTGATATAGACATACATACATCGATACATACATACATACATTCATACATACATTCATACATACATACATTGATACATACATAAATGCATACATACAGACACACATACGTACATACATACATTGATACATACATACAATATATACATACATACATACATATATTCTCACACACATACATACATACATGCATTCATACCTACAGTGGGACATCCATGCATACATACAAGGAAACATACATACATACATACATTGATACATACATACATGCATACATACATACATTGATACATACAGACATACATTGATACATACATACATGCATTTGTACAAACACGCATACATACATACATACATCGATACATATATACATACATTGATACATACATACATGAATTCATACATACATACATACATTCATACATACATACATTGATACATACATACATGCATACATACAAACACACATACATACATACATACAATGATACATACATACATACATTGATCCATACATACATACATACATTCATACATACATACAGTCATACATACATGCATTCATACGTACATACACTCTTACATTGGTATCTACATACATGCATACATACATACATACATTGATACATACAGACATACACTGATACATACATACATGCATTTATACAAACACGCATACATACATACATACATCGATACATATATACATACATTGATACATACATACATGAATTCATTCATGCATACATACATACATTGATACATCCATACATGCATACATACAAACACACGTACATACATACATAGATTCATTGATACATACATACATTCATACATGCATACATTCAAACACACATACATACATACATACACACATTGATACATACATACACGCATACATACAAACACACATTCATACACACATACATACATTCACACATACATACAAACACGCATACATACATACATACATGCATTGATGCATACATACATACATGCATACATACAAACACACATACATACATACATACATACATTGATACATACATACATGTATACATACAAGCACACATTTATATATACATATATTCATACATACATACAATCACACATACATGCATACATTGATACATACATACATGCATACATACAAACACACATCCATACATACATACATACATTGATACATACATACATACAAACACACCTACATACATTGATACATACATGCGTACATACATACATACATTGATACAAACTTACATAGATTGATGCATACATACTGTATACATTCATACATACATACATACATACCTACATGCAGACATACATTCATACATATATACATACATTGATACATACATACATGCATACATACAAACACACATACATACATACATTCATTCATTCATCCACACATACGTACATTGATACATACATACATGCATACATACAGACACACTTACATACATACATACATACACACACACATACATACATACATACATATATACATGCATACATTGGTACATGCATCCATGCATACATACAAACATTCATACATACATACATACATACATTCATACATACATACAAACACACATACATACGTTCATACATACATACATTGATACATACATACGTACATACATGCATACATACACACATCCATACATACATACATTGTTACATACATACTTGCATACATAGAAACACACACCCATACATACATACATACATTCATACATACATACAAACACATACATACATACATACGCACATACACACAGACATACATACATACAGACATACATACATACATTGATGCATACATACATGCATACACACAAACACACATACATACATACATCCATACATACGAACACACATACATACATACATTGATACATACATACATTGATACATACATACATACATTCATACATACATGCATTGATACATACATACATGCATACATACACACACATACATACATTTATACATACATACATTGCTGCATACATACATGCGTACATACCAACACACCTGCATACATAAAAACACATACATACATACATACCTAAATTGATACATACACACATACATACATGCATACATACAAACACCCATACATACATACACATATACATTGGTACATACATACATTCATACATACAAACTCACAGCCATACATACATACATACAAACATACATACAAACACACATACTGACGTACGTACATGCATACATACATACATTGATGCATACATACATACATACATGCATACATACAAACACACAAACACACACATACATACATACATACATTGATACATACATGCATTCTTACATACAAGCACACACATACATACATACATTCATTGATACATACATACATACATACATTGATACAGACATACCTTCATACATACAAACACGCATACATACATACATACATACATACATTGATACATACATAAATACATGCATACGTACAAACACACATACATACATACATCTAGTCATACATACATACAAACACACATACATACACACATGCATTGATACATACATACATGCATCCATACAAACACACATACATACATACATACATACATACATCCAAACACACATTCGTACATACATACATACATACATACATACAAACATACATGCATACATACAAACACACATACATACATTGATACATACATACATGCATGCATACATACAAACACACATTCATACATACATACATACGTACATTCGTACATATATACGAACACACATACATACATACATACAAACACATATACATACATACATGCATCCATACATGCATACATACATTGATACACACATACATTCATACATACAAACACACATACATACATACATACATACATTGATACATACATACATGCATACATACAAACACACATTCATACATACATACATACATACATCGATACATACATACATGCATACATACACACATACATACATACATGCATGCATGCATATATACATACATACGAACACACCTACATACCTACATACATACACACATACACACATACATATTCATGTATAGGTTCGTGGCGTACCGCCGTCGACGTTGCAGTCACCGCCGCTGCCGCCCCAGCCCTTTTGGAAGCAGCCCGAGCGCGGCGGCTCTCTCCAGCGGGCGCGGCAGCTCTCGCGAGAGATGGGGTGCGGCGCCTCGGCCGGCGCCGCGAGGGCGGCGCCGCCGGAGGAGCCGCCGGAGAAGCCGCCAGATCGGCCGCAGGACCCAAGCACCTAGAGATCCAACGTATTGAGAAAATCACGACGGTAGTTTTTCGCAAATTTCGGCCCCTAGGGGCCCTCGCCAGGCCTCGGGACCGTCAAAAAACGGCCCAGGATGAAAATCCGGTCCTGGGGAATGGATCGAGGCTTCCGGGGACCGCGCATTGAAAAAATCACGACGTCGGATCTCTGGGTCGGCCGCAGGACCCAAGCATGCGACGTCCTGATTTGTTCAATCCCTGAGGTCCTGGCGTCTCCGGGAGAGGGGCACAGAAACAGGTGCACACAGCTCCCAGAGCGCCCCCTCTTTTCTGACATGTTCTGGGTCCTGGCCATCGACGATGCTCTGTGTCTGTGTGTTTTTCCCCTCCTGAGGGCCTGCTCGGCCTCGGGGCGCGATGGGGCGCGCACCAGCAGGGGCACGCCGCAGGCCAGCGTCCTTCAGGGGACGGGACCTGAGATCCTGGCGTCTCGATTCTTTCGAGCCGGGCGTTTTCGCTTTCCTTTCGTGCCCCGTGGACCTCACAGATGGATCCGGCTCGGAAAGTAGCGCAGAAAGACGGGGTCCGGGGCTCTGGGCGCGGTTTTTTTATTATGTTGCAATTTCTGCAACGTCGGATCTCAGGGAAGATCAATATGGCGTCTCCACTATTTCGAGCCGGGCGTTTTCGCCTTCTTTCGGGCCCTGGGACCCTCACAGATGGATCCGGCTCGACGAAGAACGCAGCAAGACGGGGTCTAGGCCCCGGGGCGGGGTGGAAAAATCGCGGCGGGAGGTTTTTCGCTCTCTTCGGCCTCCCGGGGCCCGTCCCCCGTCAGGCCTCGGGACCGTCAAAAAATGATCAGAAGGCGAAAACCCACCCCCACCCCCAGTCCCGACGCCCATCCCCGAGGCGGCGATTCAAGAGGCCGGGACTAGGGGTGGGGGTGGGTTTTCTCCATTCCTGGACCCCGAAAACCCACCCCCACCCCCAGTCCCGACTCCTTGAATCGCGGGTTCGGGCATGGAGTCGGGACTGGGGGTGGGGGTGGAATTCCGCCTTCTCAAATGAGTCAGGATTCAGAAAACGGTCCCAGAGAAGGGGTCCAGACCTCTGGGCGTCGACGTTGCGGACAAGTCACGACCTCGGGTGTCTGGGGAGCCAGGCATGCGGCGTCCGGCTTCTGTTCTCGCTACGGGGCCCCTGGAAGTCCCGACGCTTCCCTTGGGACCGGTTTTACATCCCGACGAAGGGCCTCCCGAGGCCGAAAGCGGCCAGAGGCCTCCGGCCTTGTTGTTTTTTAAGACGCGATCGTGTCCGGGGAGGAAGCGGACGAGCCCGCCGCGGTGGCGGGGCCTGCGGCTGCAGAGGCCACCTCAGCAGTGGCTCCGGTGGAAGATGGTGCCGTCGAGAAGGCCCACCCTGCAAGACGTAGCTCAAAATTATAGATGCGTTTAGATGCGATTCGCGCCTTGGTGCAGGCGAGAAGCCCATCTTATCTAATTTTCTGCAACGGCAACATATAACAATTTCTCTGTGACATACTTTTATGTATATAATGTATTAGATGCGCGCCCCCGGCCTGCACGGGAGCACCGCCGTATCTAAACGCGTATATGTCCAAACATTTTGAACACATTGGGACCGTTTCTATTGCTCTTCAAGAACACATATCTATTCGTATTTAATTATCAGAGAATGGCATTGCTGTGCCGTATCTATTCGTAATTATTTTTGTCAGAACGGATACTGTTGGCTGTGCTCTCGGAGTGGAAAAGATCGATGATATTGGGCGAAGCAATGAGCAATGGGATGGGGATAGTGGGAAGCCGTAGCGATGAGAAGTGAGGAGACGAGCGACGACGAGGAGTAGGATGGAGAACGTCGATGAAACGAGATACAGGAGAGAACTGGGAAGGAACAGGGAACCTTAGGTGGGGGAGAGCATAGAGGAAGAGGAGGCGGAGGACGAAGACGATGAGGATGCATCAAATCGAACATGAAGGGGTGGTGCGGGCAAGGAGAAGAGAAGATGAGCACCGAGGAGGGCGGATGAGGAGGATCCAGGAGGAGTGAGGAGCGAGAAAGGTCGATCGCGTGCGTGCGCAGCGGACTCGAGGGACGATCGCGGTGGCGGTGATGGGGATGACGAGAAGGAGCATGAGGGTGACCATTGCGGGGGAGTGCCGAGGAGGTTGACGAACATGGAGAATAAAACTCGGGACTCCCGAGGGCGACATTGAGAGGAGCACGGGGGAATTGGAGGAGGAGGAGGATGAGAAATGTGAGGACGAATCAGAGGCGTGAGGGGGGATATGAATTCCGATGACGGTGCATATGGATCATGATGTGGAAGCATGGGGAGGATTGATTCGGACGATGAGCGCGGGCGGGAAGATGAGGTCGCGCGGCGAGGAGGCAAGAAGAGCGAGGTGGATTGAGTGGGAGGGAGCGTCAGGAGGATAACGTGGATGAGGGGGGAGCCAGGACGGGGATAAAGCAGAGCAATGGATGCAGATATTGGCTACTCTGCTTCGTCCTCCTCGTCACCGTGATCGTTCGGCTCGCCCACCGTCCCCCCATCCCATCGGTCAGTCATGATTTCCTCCTCTTCCCCCCCCTCATCGATGTTGTCCATGTGTATAGTCTTCCCTGTTCGTGGTCATTGAGCAGCCTCGGCATGGCAGTGGTACGGCGCCGTATCTAGTCGCATCTGTTTGTGATAGACATGTTTCCAGCGATGGGTGCCAGATTGAACCGTGTCTAAACATAGCTATTCGCATCCAAAGAGGACCCCGTATCTAAACATAGTAATCAAGCATGTATCTTGCATCTAGAAAGTATTCAATGGTATCTAAACGTAATTATATTTGAAAGATATATACTCGTATTTGATTTGATTAAGGAAAACGCTGTTAAACACAGATGGCTCAGGGGGAGATTAGATACCGTGCGGCCCTTCCGAATGCAACTGCCGCTGGGAAAATGAGCGACAAACGTAGATGTTGAGATATGTCTTCCAGGGCAGGGGCTCCTCGCCCTCCTCCCTCCCTCCGTTGCCGCCCCCCGCGCTCAACCTCATGCCTCCTTTTCCCCCTCCTGCCCATCGCTTACCACTCCTCCATCCCTCCCCCCCTCCTCGCTTCTCCCTCCTCCGTCCTTCTCGCCCCCGTTCTCCTTCCTCCCTGCCTCCCTCCTTCCTCTCTCTCTCCCTCCCTCCCTCCTTCCTCAGATAGCTCCTCCCTGTCGCGCCCCGAGGTCGCTTGAAAGCACGGGCCGAGCGTTTCACCTGAGACTTTTGCACCAGTTCTGGTCCTGAAGCTGATGTAAGAGCTTCACTGATGAAGGGCGGCCCGTTTTCAAAGTGCGGCTCTCGCCTCGGCGCCGCGCGCGCGTTGATGTCCCAGGAATGGCGATTTTCTCACGCCTGTTCTCCAACGGGGCACTTCCCTCAGCGAACATGTATCCGCGTAGGGGCCTATGAAGAGGGAACGTGGAGGGAGGACTTCAGCATCGTTTATGAGCCTCGGCCTTGCACCGGTCTTGTCTCTTCCTCCTCCTTGTCCCTCCTGCCTCCCCCCCCCTCCCCAGACCCCCGGCGTCGTGATTTTTTCACAACGTCGACCGCCAGCGGTCTGGACCCCTTCCCCTGGACCGGCTCTTCATCCTGCGTCGTTTCCTGGAGCTCCCCCGAGGCCCAGCGAGGGCCCCCAGAGGCAGAAAATATAGAACCCCCCCCCGTCCTGATTTTGCACAGCGCGAGGGGTTCTGGGCCCCTCCCGCCCTTCCTCCTTAGTGCCCTCCTGCCTTGGCTCCTCCCCCCCCTGACTCCGGATCCGCCCTACTTTGGGGAAATTCGTGAGTAGGGCTTGGAATCTCCGCATTGCTTTTCAAGCCCCGCGGATGCCAATTTCCGCACTACTTTTCTGTTGTTGTTTCCGCCCTACTTCTGTGAATTTCCGCCCCACTTTATGCTGTGTGCAGAAATTGCCGCCCTACTTGTTCGGCATCTTATGGGTGGATTTCACGCAATTTTAAGTTGGAAAAAAACAAAGTAGGGCGGATCTGCCACCCTCTCGCGGTTGAGCGAGAGGGTGGCAGATCCGCCCTCTCGCTCTCTCTCTCTCTCTCTCCCCTCTGTGGGCGTGCTATCCTCCAGATCCTTCCTCGTCATCCCATGATTCCCGTCAGCTCGCTCACCTCTCCCCCCCTGTCCTCCCGCCGCGGCCGCACATCGGCTCGGGCCTCGGAGGCCGCCGTGGCGAGCGCCGCGATCGACCTGCAGGAGCTCCGGGCCTCCCAGATGTCGGACGGGGCCCCGACGGCGGCGACGGCGACGACGACGACGACGACGGCGACGGCGACGGCGACGGCGACGGCGACGACCACGACGATTCCGACGACGACGACGACAACGACCACGACGATTCCGACGACGACGATGACGACGACGATTTCGACGACGACGACGGCGGCGACGTGTGCCGGCCGGCGGGGCGGCGGCGGAGTCGTCTCGGGAGCTTGGGGACGTGGTCAATGCAAACGGGGGTCAGCCAGAGCGCCGGATTTTGCAGGATCCTGCAGGGCCAGGGTCGCATTGACCCGGGCTTGGGTGCAGGATCCTGCCGGATCTTGCAGGGTCTTGCGCATTGACCCGGGTTTGGGTGCAGATCTTGCAGGATTCTGCAAGGCCCGGCTGACCCGGGGCTGGATTGACCCGGGTCAGAAAGAAGATCCCCGATCGTCGTCGTCGTCGTCGTCGTCGTCGTCGTCGTCGTTGTAGTCGTCGTCGTCGTCGTCGTCGTCGTCGTCGTCGTCGTCGTCGTCGTCGTCGTCGTCGTCGTCGTCGTCGTCGTCGTGGTCGACGTCGTGGTCGTCGTCGTCGTCGTCGTCGTCGTCGTCGTCGTCGTCGTCAACGTCGTCGTCGTCGTGGTCGACGTCGTCGTCGTCAATCCGCGAGTCGCGAGTCTCCGCCGCCGCCGTGCGGGGAGGCCGCGGCCCCCCACCCCGAAGCGGCCCCTGGGCGGCCGCGCGCGGCGGCGGGGCGGGCCGGGGTCCCGGGGCGCCCCGCGGGGTCCCGGGGACCTTGGCGCAGTTCGCGGGCCCCCAGACGCAGTTCGGGGGCCCCCAAAGGAGGAGGAGGAGGAGGAGGAGGAGGAGGAGGAGGAGGAGGGCACGGAGCGGGCGTGCCCACAAGGCCCCCTGGGGGGCCCCCCAATGGGGTGGTGACCACACCGTGCGGTGAGTCGGTGGGGATTCGGGGTCACCGCACGTTTTTGGGACTCGAGTCCCTCTCCGAGAGGACGTCTCGGGCGAGAGGGGTCTCCGAGGTCCCGAAATCCGTGCGGTGACGGACCGTGCGGTGAGGTCTCTTGGGGTTCTATAGGTCACCGCACGGTCTGTCACCGCACCGTTTCGGGACTCCAAAGCAGCTGCCGCTGCTTTCAATGCGCCGCCCTTTTGCTTCGAGCCTCAGTAAAACAAGTTCAACGAGCTCTGATCAAGAGGCATAGCTTTCCTCCTCCTCCCTATCCTCCTCCTCCTCCCCGTCCTCCTCCTCCTCCTCCTCCCCATCCTCCTCCTCCTCTTTCTTCTTCTCCTTCTTAATGAAAGGGAGAAAAATCTTTGAGCCCCCTTGAAATAAGTTCAACAAATTCTGATCCAGAGGCATAGCTTGTGAGGTGGCCTGCCCACGTGGCCCAACAAATATAGCCCTGCAGCCAGGGAGAAGGGGAGCGTGGAGAAGAATGAGGAGGAGTTCGAGGGGATGGGGGAGGAGGAGGAGGACGACGACGACTCCTTTCACTTCCCCTCCCGTTCCTCCCCCCCTGAGATGCTGGCGTTGCAGCTTATTCACAACCGGCGTTTTCGCTCCATTTCGGGCCTTGGGACCCTCACATCTCGATCCGGCTCGGGAAATTTGGCAGAAAGATTGGGCCTAGGGCTCCAGGCGTGATTTTTGCTTACGAGATGTTGTATTTTTCGCTACGTCAGATCTCATGCTTCGTCAAACCACATATAATCGCGCCGCTAGAGAACCCGAACGGGAAGCTCTTCTGGCCGTTTTCGGTCTCGGGAGGCCTTCGCCGGGCCTCGGCACCGTCAGCAGAACGACTCGGGATGAACCTCCTCCTCCTCCTCCTCCTCCTCCTCCTCAGAACCAGTCCTGGGGAAGTGCCCGGTACTTCAGGGACCTCGTGCCGAAAACAGAATCAGGACGCCGCATGTCCGGGGAGGCAGGTCGAGATCGCTCTGTGGTAGGGGATGGAGACCTTTTGGTTTTCCCTGTGCGCCGTCTCGGCCGACCTCCTGCGCCTCAGGGGTTGAGGAGGCACTGCACTTGTGGCCTGGGCCTGTCCAAGCCCAGGCTGTCTGACGCTTCGGGTCCGCGAGGCCCCATAGCTTGCTGAAGGAAAAGGACCAAGTCCGTTCCAGACCCAGAGGAGGAGGGGGAGAAGGATGAGGAGGAGGAGGAGGAGGAGGAGGAGGAGGAGGGAGGAGGAGGAGGAGGAGGAGGACGAGGAGGAGGAGACCCCGTCGCGTTGTGAAGAAGCCACGGCGGGAGGCTTCTGCTGGCTCTTCTCTCGGCCTCCTTGGGGCCCTCCGCCGGGCCGCTGTCGGGACGAGAAGCCAGTCCCAGGGAAGTGGTCGAGAGGTCGAGGGCCCGTGTCTCGACAGAATCGGGAAGCCAGATGTCTGGAGAACTGCGTTCCAGAGCGTTCTGGGAAGCTCTCAGCGCGTTCCGTGTCGCTTCGAGAAGGCCGCGGCGCCCGAGACACCCAGAGCTCCAGAGCCGCCAGATCTCAGAGATTCCCGACTTATTCGCGTACGAGTGTATCCTCGCCCTGGCTTCGTCTTAAGATGGGGTCGGAGTGGGGGCCTGCGGATCGCGCCGCATCGCCGAGGCGGCTCGATGCAGAGCCCAAGTCTTTCCACGTCGATGGCCCCGACGTATCGCCGACGTCGCCGATGCAACGGCGATGCGGCGCGATCCTCCGACCCCGTCTACTCGGACCCCATCTAATTTGCCTCTGAAGAGTGTCGCCGTGATCCAGGGCCCCCGAACGGTGCGGTGACCACACCGTGTGGTGAGTCAGTGGGGACTCGGGATTTCCGGGCGTTTTCATTGTTGTCCGGTGGCTTTCCTGCATTGGGATGCGTTCCAGCAGCTGCGCCTCGCCGAGAGCGTTTCGGGGATGCCTCCCTCGTTCCGAACGGCCGCCAGAGGCCCGAGATCTGGCCCGGAAATAAATTGTTTTCTCCTCCTCCCCCTCCTCCTCCTTCTCCTCCTCCCCCTTCTCCTCCTCCTCCTCCTCCTCCTTCTCCTCCTCCTCTTCCTCCCCCTCCTCCTCCTCCTCCACCCCTCCCCCCGTCCTCCTCCTCCTCCTCCTCCTCCTCCTCCTCCTCCTCCTCCTCCTCCTCCCCTCCACCCCTCCCCCCGTCCTCCTCCTCCTCCTCCATCCTCCTCCTCCTCCTCCCTCCTCCTCCTTCCTCCTCCTCTTCCTCCTCCTCCTCCTCCTCCACCCCTCTTCCTCCCCCTTCTCCTCCTCCTCCTCCTCCTCCTCCTCCTCCTCCTCCTCCTCCTCCTCCTCCTCCTCCTCCTCTCCTCCTCCTCCTCCTCCTCCTCCTCCTCCTCCTCCTCCTCCTCCTCCTCCTCCTCCTCCTCCTCCTCCTCCTCCTCCTCCTCCTCCTCCTCTCCTCCCTTCCTCCTCCTCCTCCTCCTCCTCCTCCTCCTCCTCCTCCTCCTCCTCCTAGGAGGGCCGGTGTGGAGAGTCAGTGGGGGCTCGGGGCAGCCGCACGGCTGTGGAGGGGGGGGGCTCGGCAGCCAGACCCCCCCCGCTCCAGAGGCGGCGCGGGTGGCGGGCCCCGCGGGTGAGGTCTTTTTGCGGTTCTCGAGGGCGCCGCGCGGTCTGTCCACCACTAGGGTTTAGTCGGGCCTGATCTTGTATTAGGAGAATATTCCCAAATAGTAAAAAATAGTGTAGGGAGGTTTTTTATTCCCAACTATCCTGTGGTGTTGGGTCCTCGTTTTGAAGAGACAGTGCCCCGCGTCTCCTTCCTTCCTTCCTCCCGCTGCCCCCTCCTCCTCCCCCCTCCTCCCTCCTCCCTCTCACCATCATCATCATCATCATCATCACCATCATCATCATCATCATCATCATCATCATCATCATCATCATCATCATCATCATCATCATCATCATCATCATCATCATCATCGTCATCGTCATCGTCATCGTCATCGTCATCGTCATCGTCATCGCCATCATCATCGTCATCGTCATCGTCATCATCATCAGCACCATCATGGTCGTCATCATCACCATCGTCGTCATCATCACTATCATCGTCGTCATCACCATTATCGTTCATAAGCCTCACGACCATCATCGTCATCATCATCATAATCATAATCATCATCATCATCATCATCATCATCATCATCATCATCATCATCATCATCATCGTCATCATCGCTGTCATCATAATCATCGCCATCATCGCTGTCATCATCCCTCACACGTTTCGTGGCCCCATAGGGAGCTCCACCGAAGGCCCCAGTGCCACCGCCCGCATGCGTCACCTACACCCAATTCGGCACACCCCTCACACGTTTCGTGGCCCCACAGGGAGCTCCACCGAAGGCCCAGTGCCACCGCCCGCATGCGTCACCTACACCCAAATCGGCACACCCCTCACACGTGTCGTGGCCCCATAGGGAGCTCCACCGAAGGCCCCAGTGCCACCGCCCGCATGCGTCACCTACACCCAATTCGGCACACCCACATAGGGAGCTCCACCGAAGGCCCCAGTGCCACCGCCCGCATGCGTCACCTACACCCAATCGGCACACCCCTCACACGTTTCGTGGCCCCATAGGGAGCTCCACCACCCCAGTGCCACCGCCCGCACCGGCGTCACCGTGGCCCCATAGGGAGCTCCACCGAAGGCCCCAACCGCCCGCATGCGTCACCTACACCCAATTCGGCACACCCCTCACACGTTTCGTGGCCCCACAGGGAGCTCCACCGAAGGCCCCAGTGCCACCGCCCGCATGCGTCACCCACACCCAATTCGGCACACCCTTCACACGTGTCGTGGCCCCATAGGGAACTCCACCGAAGGCCCCAGTGCCACCGCCCGCATGCGTCACCTACACCCAATTCGGCACACCCCTCACACGTTTCGTGGCCACATAGGGAGCTCCATCGAAGGCCCCAGTGCCACCGCCCGCATGCGTCACCCACACCCAATTCGGCACACCCGTGCTGCCAGCCATGGACGCG